CGCAACCAAAGAAAAGGCTTCTGCTTCATCACATTTGAAAACGAGAGCGCGATGAAGGAGCTGCTCCGTAACCCGAAGCAGACTCTTGGGGGCAAAGAAGTAGATGTGAAGAAGGCAACTCCTCGCAATGACCAGATGGGATTCGGCGGAGGTCCTGGCTTTATGCGCGGTGGACCTCGTGGGGCTCCGCGTGGCGGTATGATGCGAGGTGGCGGTCGCGGTGCACCGCGAGGTGCCCCACGAGGCGGCGGTTGGGGTGGAGCAGCCGGTAACGGCGGCGGATGGGGCGGACAGCAATGGAACCAAGGGTATGGCGACGGTTACAGTGATGGTGGTTACGGCGGATATGATAGTGGAAATGGCAACTACGGAGGGTGAGTCGGCATTTTTTTTCAATCTATATTTTTAAAAATCATTGTACTGTATATGTAAAGTTCACACTTTCTTTACGTAGTCTTTCATTTTTTAAATGTTGCCATTTCTTCACATTTTTGCGCACGAATATCCTTGGAATCTGATTAACTTCAATATGAGAAAAATCGAGTACTCCGACCAGGCTTTTGAAATTCAATCGAAGTACTGTACGCGTAAAGGATTAACAATTGATTTCGAGGAACTGTGGACCTCGGTTAATCACAATGTGATGAATATACAGTACTGTGCTGTATATTAATATGATACAGCAGAATCCCCTTTTAACGAATCCAGTCAAAACGAATTAATTCTTCGAACGATTCATACTCTTGGTACCTTTTCAATAGCCACAATGCTATGATATTTTCATCGCGTTTCAAGGAATTTTCGAATACAGGAGCTTTCTTGAGGTCCCAAGCGTTTCTTCGTAACGAGGTTCTACTGTGTAATCTTATATGATATTTTGTATGCGGTTTTCTTATTTTAATTTTTTTTCTACAGCTATGGCTATTCAGGCTATGACAACAACAGCTACGGAGGTGGCTACGAGGGTTACGGACAAGGTCAGGCTGCTGGCGGTGGTGGAGCTCGAGGCGGTCCCCGCGGCGCAGGTCGCGGAGGTCCACGTGGAGGCGCCGGTCGCTACCAACCCTACTAGAGAGCCTTCTATCCGTACTGCGTGAGACCTTTTTGTTTTGTATATTCGCCGGCCTACCTCTGCCTGAGCGTCTCCTGCTGGAAAAAACGAAGGTCATCCAACTGTTGCACGTCTACTCTCATCTCAAGTTTTGTACCTTGTCGTTCGCAAAGCTTGGTTTTTATATCCAGGAACAAGAAGAATTTCCTTGAATGTTTGTTGTTATCTTGGTTTTTTGTGCTCTTAATAGAGCTTGAATTTGTTTCTGGTTAAAGTTATTGTGCATTTTTTTGTGGAACGTGTCAGAATTAAAAGGACCGTTCGTTGTGGTAGACAAAGAAGCTCTTCCTTGCGCCTTGCAAGTAGAGTGAACAACTGCGAGCAAGAAGAATAAATTCTCAAACTGTTCTCGGAAGAAATAACTGTGGTATCGAAGAATCTAAACGATCAATTTCCTTAGCATGGATTCTCGAACTACGACTGACTAATGTCTCCATTGTCAAGTTTTCACTGAACTTAAAAAGTCTGTGAACGTTTTTTTTTTCGTTGATGTCCAGGTGATGACTGATCCTTCTTTTTCAGCTGACCCGGAAAGCTGGCCTTCGAATCCCTGACGAGAGTTTCTTGTTGCTACTTTTGGTTCTGTTTTCCTTTTACGGTTGTGACTTGTTTTCAATGACGGTTAAGTTCATTCTGACTGTATGACTAAGCTTGACGGAATCATCGAAATCGTTCATGTACTAGAGAGTTTCTTGTTGCTACTTTTGGTTCTGTTTTCCTTTTACGGTTGTGACTTGTTTTCAATGACGGTTAAGTTCATTCTGACTGTATGACTAAGCTTGACGGAATCATCGAAATCGTTCATGTACTGTTAGAGAGGAAGATTTGGCTGTGTATTCATAATGGTGTCTCGGTGCATGGAGTCATCATTTGAATCAAAATTGACTGATAGCTTCATGGGCTAGAAAATGTCCTTCGACCAAAAAAATTTAACGCTACGGATTGTTATATTTCTTTCAAACAGCATGCGAAGAATCCCTTCGTAAATTTTCATATTTTATTGACGAAAATATGGACAACGGGAATTATCATAGAAGTAAAACTTCGTATGACGGTGAAGACAATCTAGTTTAAAATCGAATACAGCAAAAATATCGTTACAGCGAAGCATTTTGAACCTTCGAAAAGCTTTGTTGCTTTGTTCTGTACAAACAAAAATTCGTTGAAAATAGTTTTGCTTTTGGACAGGGCAGACCTCAGGGCCCAAAAAACAAATTAGTTATTAGAATATGATTCTACTGTTCAAGAAAGGCGACATGGAAAGTTTTCGTTTGATTCCGTCTTGCGGGTCGTAATCATTTATTCTAGTTCAACCTGTTCCCTCTTCGAAACTATTCTCATATTCCACTCAACGCAGACGACTTACATTTTTTGCATGGATCTCAATTGGTTAATTTGATATTTCTGGACATTTCCTGAGAAAGAAACAGGATTGTATTCGCTTCATATCGAAGTTCTGAGCTCTGCAGTGCTCGTGTTTTCCCGAAAATAAGACTTCTACACAAAAAGTAAGCGATTGAATAAAAGTAAGTAATACATGAATAAAATCAATTGAGGCATGCTATGCACAGAAGAATCGTGAATTATGGATGAAATCCGAACCCAGGAGTATCCGTCTGCAGTATTTATACTGTACCAGGATTAGGTTTTTCAGAATATCATTTTAAGAGGTGTTGGCAGCTTCGTTCATAAAAGAATTTGAAAATCGATATTACACATGGTTGAAGGTCTAAGTGTCAGATAAGATGAGAATACCAAATATTTGATTCAATGTTAGGTACAGTATTGAAGAAATCATCAACCTTGAAGAAAAGGTCTGATCTCGTGGAAAATGAAAAGACATCTTGTTGGACGGAAGTCTTATTCTTGGGAAATTCAATAGTTAGACTCATGTTACGGACGTAAAACTCGATCTCTTCGCTGCGAAAGCGTATAAAGATCTAACGTGAGTATTTAAGGAAGTAAGTTTTAACGGGGAAAGAAGATCAAGGATGCCTCGGGATGTGCTGCTGTCGTCTCCTTGTTGCAGAGGGTAAGCCTGTCGATCATGATTTTGTCTTTTGCGTTCCCAAGTATTGTTTTTCCGCGATTTACGAGAATCAGAGTCAAACTGACATACGTACTGTATTCACAATGATTCCTCTTCTGACTAAGATGGACAGTTTCAAAGGAAAGTCCATTATCTGAAGAGTTCATGATTCAGTAAGTTAGAAATGTGGTAGTTTTTCGGCTAATTTTTGTGAAAAGACCAGAGTTTGCCAGAGATGAGGAGCATTTTCTTCACGAATAGTTGATTAAATAAATATGGATAAATGTTGGTTCAACAGAATAATAACAAGAAATTACATCGAAACAAGGAAATGCATGTTCATCGAATTTGATGTCATAAATTCTACGTCAGTTCTCTTCAATGATTTTTTTTTTCGTTCCCTGGTGGTTCTCTATGAAGAAATTCGCATTACGATGAATTTTTGTACGTCTCCTGAATTGTTTTGAGTCAAACTGTATCCTCTAATGCTGGCTGCCTCATGAAAACCTAGATTTATTTCATTGACGATTATCTTTCTTGCAGGCTAATATCTGGATCTGTGTCATTTTGAGTCTTATTCTGCAGGGCGTTCGTTATCTAGAGCAGGGTTCCCCAACCATTTTGGACCTGTGGACCGGCGAATTTCCAAAAAAAAAAAAATTTCTGCGGAATGGCAAAGTTTCAGAATTTTTTTGCAGACTCGCCAAAGTTTTGCTTGAATTTTATGATACAGGTAGATGCAAGAAAAATTCAGTTCAGAATGAAATAAAACAAGAAGGTGGGTTTGGATGAAGATTTCTCCAGTTGAAAAATTGAAATAATTTATTTCAGCAGGTACAAGTGTGTCTTCAAGTGTTACTACGAGAAAAGCCAATTTTTATTTTAATCAGATAAGTCAAATGCCATTGTCCTGAAATTTCAGGTGAACTAAAAAGAGCAGACCTCATCCCGACTTCTGATAAATTTAATATGCTGAAAATTTTCCGCGCTCCAGCGAAAAAACTTCTGCACACTAGCGCCAGTCCGCGGACCACAGGTTGGGGAACACTGATCTAGAGTATTCCTGTTCGAAACTTCAAATTTAGCGCTTTCAGGTTTGTGACAGTTTGACGATGTTTCATACAGGTTAACTTCCTCTGCGACGAAAAATCACTAAATTCAAGGGACCATAATAAAAAATGTTCAGGGAACTTCTATAGCCTGGGGAGATATCTCTACAGCCCAGAAACTAATTCTTTCGTTCGAAGAAAATCGTTCTAGAGAGAATTCACCTGTAGTTGTACACATTCAAATTGTGTGATGAGTATGACCGTCATTTATTCCATTGCTATATCATTTTTCTCGTCTTATCAAAATTGCCATGCTGCTAAATACTGTGCAGTACATGTATATTGTTGGAAAAGAATAAATTCGATTTCTAGGTCATTCTGTGAGTCGAAAAAGGGCGGCCAAGAAGAGGAAAGGTACTGAAGCTTTCTTTTTATGCAAGTCTTCATCTTTTTAATGTACTTGCGAGCAATTCGTGGTCTTCTGGGTGAAAAAAAGATGTACTTATCGGTCAGCATGGATGTGGAGGAAAAGTTATCAAATTACGCCGAAGAAAATTGCGTGTCAGTTCGTGTTTGTAGCGAAGGAATTTTGATTTTGCGTTGCTCATTTTCCACAGGTGGCATCGTTGTAGAGGTTTGGCATTTGCTGGAGAATCCGGACTTCGTTTCCAGAGGGTTCCTCAAGTGATACCATGGGCAATGATGACTCCGCACTAAGATGGTAAGATTATAACCGTAAAATGCAGGGTGGACTAGAAAACGTTGCCCATTGTTTCATGCTGTACTGCACCAGTGTACTTCACATCTGAACGATCGCAACATAAAACTTGTTAAACAAGTGAAAAATGTCGTTCGTGAGAATTGCCGAAGTCCGAGTTTATCCGTTTACGCTGGCTCTTGGACTCCACTTGTATTTCTGAAATCCGATTTTGCAATTGTGCAAAGTTTTTTGACCAATATATCGTACTGTATTGTATGGTAAATTCGCACAAGATGGATGATGGTGATGGTTAAGTAAAACAGTATAGTGTTCATGTGTGTCAGCATGGTGATGAAAATAATTTCGTACAAGGTGATTTTTTCTGTTCAGTATTAACTATTTTCCAGAAGCAAGCAATGTAGTGTTAATTTTTTTAATTCGAGCCATTTCTGAGGATTTGAGGTAAACAATTCAATCAGACTCTCCAGTACAATTTGCACAGATTTTCAGTTAACGAAATTCAAGCGAATCATCGACGGGGTGATTGTCGCCAAACTCTCATTTGATCCCCGTATGAACTTGAGACATTTTCGGATGACGGCTGCTGTACTTCTTGATCAACGAACTTCTGACAATTGCACTGCAGTATCCTTTTTTTTTTTTTTACATGAATCTTCATCCAATTGCTCAACAACAAAATATGACGAATAATCACTCGCAACGCTTATTTTCAGTGGTGTATGCAGTCGTTCTTGGGCGCGAACGGACAAGTTTTATGGTTTGGTGCTGTTTGTGAGAACGTCCCGATTGAAAGAAACTGAAGGTTACCATGTTTTCCGCTCGAAACAGTACGGAAATTCGCAGTACTTGTGATTTGATTCGTTTCTATTTTGCGAAATTCACGATAGATTATTTAGAGCGTTGATTGCCTTCAATTTAATCAAGGGTTCCGTGAGAAGGTTATGAAAGATCGGTATCTATTTGCAATTTTTTGCTTTCTTTCCGTTTCCTGTACGTCAAGTAATGCATTTTGCATTTAACTGTTCAAAGTATGATTAGCTGTGATCCTGAATTCAGGCCTGGAAACGCAAATGTGATGAGATCGTTGTGCTTGCAAATTGCTTATGGTTTGAAATGTTCTTTTATCGAAGTTTGCAAATGCAGTTGGATGATTTACTTTCCAATGTCACTTTTTTGATGGAGTCTTCCCATGCTTGGTTCAGGCCTGCATTTTGAAACAATTGTACACGTTCTAATTGATCACGGTGAAGGAAGTAATTCATGTGACATTTCTTCCCTTTAAATGCGCAATTTTTGCTAGTTTTGAGCTGAACCTTCAAATATTTTCCTAGTGTAGGTGGAGTGAAACGGCAGTATCGTATGATGCCTATTATCGTGGTCTTCGGAATTGCCGAGAGAACTAATTTGCCTTGGTTTGATACGCATCAATTTCGAGTGCACAATTCATTTAATTAAGACAATTGATATTGTCATTCCGAAAGCTTGTGAATATGAACAGTTTTTGAAGGGGTGTTACGTTCGAAAATTACTACAGTGCAGTAGTTGCTTACCGTGGCACGTCGTGAATAGATCAAAGATCATACAATTTTACTGAAGGTTGAATTACGAACCGAGTGATTCACCTATTGATAAATGCAATAAAGCTACTTGTAGGGCCACGCATCTTGATAGCAAGTTGGTAGGTTATGGCATGTGAGTAATTTCTTGGAGAACCCATGGAGTTCTGTGGGCTTTGTAGCTATTATTCTTTGATGGGAAACCTCCCTGCCGCCATTCTGGTGTGATGGATTCCGCTCTCCATTTTCTTTGCCGACAACCATGTTAGGCACCATTCCGGGTGTTAGTGCGGCTTGAGATGCGGTTCGAGCTGTGTGTTGAATCTCAGCGAGCGGATCGATCGTGTCCATCTAAGACTTTTGTACTGCTCAGTATCTGTATTAATGAGTGTCGTCCATTCTTAGCTTGCAGTTTGTGAGTTTAATGTGTGAGCATTCCGGTTGAACGCTATCGAATATGTCAGGTAGTAACCCTGTGTATCAACCGACGACGGTCACGTATAATCGCGATACGGATGGATTCGAGCAAGTTTACGTTCCGAGTTTTGCACATCAAAGTCAAGCACGGCGATTGCTCCCTACCGCTCTCTTCGTGGGGGGAGTAATGGTCGGAATTCTTGCATTGAGTTTCGTCATCGTTGGGTCTAATGCGAACGAACCACGTCCAACCATGTTACCGGTAACAGAAGCCTCAGTGAACATCACTAACAATTCCACGGAAAAGGATTCATCAGTTCTTGACACAGACACGGTGTTGGTGAATGTCACGCGTGCTGAAGTTGACCCTACCGGAAGTCCGGCATATGACGAAGGTACCGGTGGAGCCAGTGTTCTGGTGGGAGTAGGTATTCCCATGTTGTTCATATCCATCGCTATGATATCATACGCCCTTTGGGCCAGAGGTTATCTTCATTCCTGTATTCCTCGCAAGGGTCAAACGTACGCTCAGCAGCTGAGTAGAGGAGTTGTGCTACAACCCGCTGACGAGAATCGGCATTAAATGCTGATACAGTATATTCTTATGAATTTGGGCATTGTACTTTCTTACGCTTGATGGAACCTCCGGAAAGCTGCGCGGAATTGTTACCGTTTCCCCTTGCTGAGAATTGAGTGCAAGAATAAGCTTCATGTAAGCCGTTGTGCGTTTCTGCTTCGAAACTCTCAACGATGTTCCAATGTCCCCGTGCAAAGCGTGTGACTCAAATGCTTTTTTGCTGTTTTTTAAATATTTTTCGAATTAATTCTGACGTACGCGAAGTATTTTGACGAGGTGCACTTCATATTTGATGAATACTCTTGGAGAAGATCTCATACGAACATGAGAATGACACTGGTTTGCCCTTTCAAACTTGATGCTGAATTGATCTCAAGATCATTTGATTTTCTCCCGTATTTGGTCTTGAAGAATTTCCCATGATCAGGCCGACGAATTAACGCCGTACGGAAAACGATGCGGAACGTTGAAGTTATTTTTGTTTGGTACATGTGTGTTTCAAGGAAAAGACTGTGATTGTACGGATCATTATCGAATCATCTTTTTTGTGCCCGAAAAGAGACGATTGAAATTTTGGTTGTGTGAGACATTGCCCGAATTTATGCATGCTGGAGACAAATTGTAATAATTTCCAGGCCGGAACCCCGGGAAAAACGATAAACCATTCCTTGCACCGAAATTCCAAATGCACCTCTGTTGGCTGTTCAGACTATCGTTCGGTTCCTGAGATTCATTCATGATCTTCGGTCGAACTAATAACGTTGATGTTCTGGTTTTTCAGAAGTTTTGGGACTTCCGTGCTATTTATTTATATTTCCTGGTTGACTTTTCGTAAGCTTGACTTTGTGTGACATGGAAGCTCAGCAAGGTGAGGAAGTAGCCAACGGTGTAGCGATGGAACATTCCGGAACTGATCACGCAAAAGCTGGCGAAGAAGACGACAGGAAATTATTCATTGGTATGGATAATAATTGAAAAGATACAATTCTGCTCAATGACTCATCATATTTTACTGCGGTACTCCGTGAATCGCTTGAACAATATTAGTAAGATGCAGGAGTTAGAAGTATCTGGGTTGAGAAGTACTGAATGATAAAAGCAAGTTCAACGCAGAAGCGTCAAATATAATCGAACCTCGGTCTAAGCAACCCGATTGATCTAAGTTTTTTCGTGAAACCAGGTGGATTAAGCTGGGAGACAACCGAAGACAACCTAAAGGATTTCTTCTCCAAATATGGCGAAATTGAGAATGTCAACTTGAAGACAGACCCGAACACTGGCCGATCTCGTGGGTTTGCATTCGTTGTTTTCAAGGCCGTGGATTCTGTGGAGAATGTCTTGAATGCTGGCGACTTGACAATTCAGAGCAAAAAAGTTGAGGCAAAGCGCGCTAAAGCACGTCAGGGAAAGGTATTCGTTGGAGGCTTGCCCGCGGAATTGTCCGAGGATGAAATCAAGGCACACTTTGGTAGCTTCGGCAAGATTGCGCAGATGGAAATGCCCTTTGACAAGGTAAGTTTTTAAGGGTTGGTTTTGTCGCGACTGTTAGACGATATGACTTTTTCATTCCAAGGCAAATATCGATTTTTTCTTTATCATGTACTCAGTAAATTCAGTAATACAGTACAGTGCATAGTGATTCAGTATCACTAGATTCGCCGTGTACTGCGTATACAGTATTTTTATCAGTGAAAATTGTGGCGAAAACTGGAATTTCCGCTGGCAACTTATAATCATTTGAAGGAGTAGGCTTGCATTACGATTATCGCTTTGATCATTTTATTGTAAATTTTCAACTGAATATCTACGGTAGTTAACGTCGAAGAACGTATTTCTGCGTGTACTGTATGCTGATATTTTTTCGGAATTCGTCCGGATTCAGAAAACAGAATTTTGAACCCGAGTTCTACTGAGAGCATTCTCTTTCACTTTACTTTCCGCGTGATCGTGAAGTAAAAAGGCGGAAGAGCAAATCGACTTAGTTCAACGCTTTTCGTGACATTTTTTGTTCATGTCGTTCTTGAAAACTTGAAATTTACTCTTATTACCCAGGTTCGCAACCAAAGAAAAGGCTTCTGCTTCATCACATTTGAAAACGAGAGCGCTATGAAGGAGCTGCTCCGTAACCCGAAGCAGACTCTTGGGGGCAAAGAAGTAGATGTGAAGAAGGCAACTCCTCGCAATGACCAGATGGGATTCGGCGGAGGTCCTGGCTTTATGCGCGGTGGACCTCGTGGGGCTCCGCGTGGCGGTATGATGCGAGGCGGTGTTCGCGGTGCCCCGAGGGGTGGCCCACGAGGCGGCGGTTGGGGTGGAGCCGCTGGTAACGGCGGCGGATGGGGCGGACAGCAATGGAACCAAGGGTATGGCGACGGTTACAGTGATGGTGGTTACGGCTACGGTGGTTACGGCGGTGGTGGCGGCGGCGGCAACGGGGGCTATGGAGGGTGAGCTTACATGCTATTCTCGGTATTAATTAACTACGGTACTTCTCATACGCATGGTTAAATTTATTTACATAACGAGTTGGTATGTACTCGTGAATGCATATTGTTTCGATTTCCGAAGTAACTACTGTACTTCCGAATAAAATTTCGCTGCTCTCGATTTTCGAAAGAAAAAACCTGGTCGTAAACGTGGAACTAGGTGCAAGCGTCAACCTCGTCGTGCAACTTCGTGTATTTACTGTTCATAGGAAATTTCTGCATTTTTGCGCAGGAACAAATTACCGGTCATGTGTCAATGTGCTACTTACTCTAGCTCCTCTGTGCGCCTGTCGAACGTTTCTTTGGATTTTTGATGGCGGATTTGCGCGAATGGGTTTTTGTTCGAAGACTACGTTAGCTAATCAAAATTTGACTATAGAGCAACGTGAGAGCAACTTTTCAGGTGTATCAGTAACCTACTTCATAATTTGTTCACCTGTGTGGGATGTATCTTGTATGATCTTCATTACGCGCTCGCGCTGCAATTAATCGAGGTCGCCGTTTTCTTATTTCAGGTACGGGTACTCCGGTTATGACAACAGCAGCTATGGCGGGGGCTACGGGAACCAAGCTGGAGGCGGAGGTTATGAGGGTTATGGACAGGCAGCTGGCGGCGGCGGAGTTCGAGGTGCTCCCCGCGGCGCCGGTCGTGGGGGTCCACGAGGCGCCGGTCGCTATCAACCCTACTAAAACCCTTCTACCCGGTGTGCGTGAGACTTTTTTTTCGTACAATTCGCCGGCCTACTTCTGCCTCAGGGCGTGTCTCCCGCTGGAAAAACGAAGGTCATCCAACTGTTGCACGTCTGCTCTCGACCCGACTTTGGTCTCTTGAAGCTTGTTTTTTATATCCAGGAAACTTCGAGGAATGATTCGCTGTTATCTTGGTTTCTCTCACTTGTGAGCGAGTTGTATTTTGGTTCCGGTAAAGTTATTGTGCATTTTTTGTGGAATGTGTCAAAATTTAAAGAGTATCTATTGCGGTAGACGAAGCTCTTCGTTGCACCCCGCAAGTAGAGAAAAGTACTGCGAGCAAGACGAATAAATTCTCAACTGTTCTCCGATGGAAATCAGCGGTGGTGTCAAAGTTAAAACGTGTCTTTTTGAGCAACGACGACTGATGTATAGGTTTCATCGAAATGGCTTTTCTTGGTTATTTAGAACGACTGATTTGTGGATTTATTCGAATTCCGCTGTTTCAATGTGATCTTATTTCCTTCTATTCGCAGTTTCCCCGGAAGCCGGCTGTGCTACTCCCGGTCTGCATTTCCCTGACCAGTGGTTCATAGTTGTTCTTCTTTGGTTCAGCTTTTTTGTACTTTCGACTATCCTAACTTTTTGTTCAAAACATGAACAAGAACTTCAGTACTTTTTTCTGTTCCTTCGGGAATACGATGATTTGCTCACCTTCGTGACGTCAATGTTTGCCAATATTTTCATACTAATAATGGTCCAAACTAAGATGATTTCCTGAGTTCTGATTTATTTTTCCTTTCCACCGGACATTCATCGTAGTTGGTTCTGTGGTGTGCTTGAAATTTGTTTCGTTTATTCTGCTGTGAAGCCCTTTTTACCGTTTTTTTACGCGAGTATAAGATCAATTCTTCCGATCTCGTCAACGAATCAATGACACCTTAGATACGCATGTAAAATTTTAACTTTTGGGGTGGTCCGGAACTACGCTTCCTTTTTGTGATATAGTATATTCTACCACTGAGGATCTGAGCTTGACCTGAAAGGTTAAACTGACGAATCAAAGGCAAATGTCGAAAGCATATGGCGACGTCTTACTTCGTGGATTATACAATTTGTTTCTGCTGTAATTGGTGTAAGAATGTCGAGGGTACTACAATACAAGTATTCAAATACAGTACTGTATTTTGGTCCACCTTGTATTAATGGCTGGGAATTAAGTGACATGAATTAGGATATCACGAAGAATTCCTGTAGTTCTACATGCTCTTATATTCGCGTAAATAAGATAACATTCCATTGTTCTTCCTGAAAACCGTACGTTTCGATTCAGTCAACTGAACTATGAGTACGTACTGTCTTTACTGCTGCATGATCTTTGTTGATCTTACGAAAAAGAACAGTCGAGAAGGTATACGACGATTGTCAAGGCTGGTAAAGCTAGTCCACAATCATTCAAGCCACGGTACGTTATCACGTCAGAGGAATTGAGAATGATTTTTTAAGAAATTCTGAATGTAAATAAAAAAAAAATCGTGAACTGGGAGAGAAAGACGATGGATTTCTGTGGACGTCTGCCGGTGACGACGCGCCTCCCCGACAGAGCGGTGAGTTGATCGTGCCACGAAACAAGAGTTGCACAAGTATTGCACATTTTCTTGATGGCTATGTCACGGCTGCTTCGCAACGCCTGCATTTCTTTGTTGGATCTCTGGATTATAGATGGAAGCAACGCCTTTTTAGAGAAATAATTCAGCGTCCGTGAAAAATATAAGACGTAAATGTGAAGGTCGATCGAGAAAGGAGTGTTCGAATTACGGTCAAAGATCATTTATGCATCAGAGAACTGTGATGGATGAGTAACCGTTAAAGTACCCTGTTCGTGGTACGCGTCACCGGATTACATGCTTCGTAGTACCATACTGGGATAAGTGGATTTCTTCAGTATCTTCTGGAATATCTGACTGATATCAAGTCCTGAGCTGAATGTCGATCACTTACGGGAATTCTAATTGTGTTGGCGACGCATACACTTCCAGTAAACTTCAGAGAGAGTCGAAGCCTGTAAATTATCACCGTATGCTTCACTTGCATGCTACAGAGGTGTACCATTTATGTGAACTCAATTGAGTTTCTTTTTACGCCGCACAATTGATAATCTGGTAATGATACTAGCAGATATGGATTTTGACGCTCTTCGAGGGAGAAGCTCCGTAAAAGGCGCTTACGATCAAGACAATCGTCCTCTTCAAATTCTACGTACGCATTCATATGCTAATGTATGAGTTTCTCGTTTTCCTGTTCTATTCGGGACTGAACTTGTTCCGAACAAATGAATGCCTTGGTTATTCAACTCAAAATAAAATTGCCCGGAGCGCAGAAGCTCGAAGGATTTTTTCAGAGGAATATAATGGATTACCGCATTAAGAAATATTGGTTGGCATGCTAGACAATATATTCCATTAATCATCGGGAATTGACATAAAATCTAATGTATATCTCGATTCCATTGGTTTGTGTAATCTGAAATATCAGCAGCCAGAATGTATGTACTTGTTGCTGAAGGTGGTCGGAAGTCGAACTTCTCAAGCGGAGTACATTGAAGTAAGAAGGCCTTCGGTGAACGAGCGGCGCCATTTTGTGTGTTGTTCATTTCGAGTATGCTTTCCTTCACGGAAGGCGGGAAAAGCCCGGCTAATTAAGACGGCATGGTTGAAAGTGGGAAGTGAAATAATGGTAATCATTGGTTACGGCTTAAGCGTGAATGGCGTATAACGATAATGTACTGCAATCGATTTCGTTTCTTAGTAAGGTAACGTGAATCGTTTCCGCTGCTTGGATAATGTTCACTTTTCTGACTGCGATGAAGAGTTCCCTTTCCGTAATCACCACTGCTCAAGAAAGCCAGGTGGAAAGCAGAAGAGGACCGATAATCTCAAGTCGTCGCTTTTTACATCTGATCTCGCCTAATGAAGCATGAACTCACTAAATTACACTTCAGCGTGGATGAAAAATCTGAAACTTCGTGACTTGCTCACGCAAGCGAAGAGACCGCATTTTTTTGAACTGAGATAACGTGGAATTCCGCAAAACTTCGTGTGGCTTCCGAAGTTCGAAATATTGTAGCCGGTTTTTTAATAAATGTCAACTTACATGTACTGTATTCAGTTGCGAAAGTTACTCATTAAAGTGTGTTACTGTGACTCCTTGTTCCAAAATTTATTTATTGTGTTTTTTATGAAATACTAGTTACAAACTCACATTCCGCTTCTGGTAGCAAGTGTTGGTGTTCAGCGGGTATGTGGGGAGTGATCCTGCTTTTCGTGGCTTAAGGGTGTTCGCTTCTTTTTATGTGCATTGACATTGCTAATCCATCTTCTGAGCATTACCCAAGAAGTATTTTTCTCAGCCGGGAAGAGCGTGGAAAAGAGATTAGGATCAGTAGCGGCAGGTGACGCGCGTAAACGGAGTGTCAACGGCCTGCGCGACGATGTTATCAGTCCTGAGCTGACGTGTCGTACGCCTTGACAATTGCTAACGAATTTGAAATAACTGTGTCGCAAATCCGTTTCCTGCCTATAAAATTGATGAGCTGAACAGCGAAAAACTGATATTCGTGAAACGTAACCGTTGCAGCTCAAAATCCTCCCTCGATTACGGTACTGTACAGTACTTCAATTTCGTTACTGTGTGATATCTTCGACGTACGTAAATCGAATACAGTGAAGAAATCTGTGTTTGTGAAAGGAATGAAGTTGATTTGCATGATGCAGAAAAATGTGAAACGTTTACGATGCCAGCGTCTCTTGGTGGTGAACACAGGGACGCGCTTTAACGAAAGGCACCGAACAGGAAAGCAATGATTTCGAAGAGTTCTCTGCAGAAATCACGCGATGACCCATCTGCTGGATTTCATTCTCCCCTCTGATTACCCACCTCACGTTTTTTTTTCGACGCATTATTCCATTATTTCAGGATTATCAAATGTTCATGTTTGCAAATGCGTTGAATTTATCTAAATCAGTTCTTTTGGTACCGTACAGTTGCAGTGCGGGATGCTTCTCATTTTGTAATTGGTTGTAGATCATGTCGTGAATAAAGACCTTGCTCGAGTCCCAAAATTACGCTTCAATAAACAACGGACACATCTATTGTATTGATAGTTCATCATGTGCTTTTCGCTCGCAATTTTTTCTTGTTGGGACAGTATCAGTGCGTAAACTCTGGCGTTATTGAAATATATAGTATGTCCATCAATAGAATTGATGAACTATCCGGCGGCTTGAATTCGGTCGCTTGCATGTGCTGAATTCGCTCAAAAAGTACGAACGATTCCGGTTTACTGTTATGTTGATTCGTACAGTATAATGTAACGGTGGCAAAGGCCATGGCTACTAACAGTAAGATCCGTTATTCTCGAAGAAAGGAAGGTTGACCCATACTCCATCTTGAGGAAAAGCCATCTTTATTATGATTCTATGAGAACGCAGAAGTAATGCCCTTGTTCTGAATTGCGAGAATAGTGTGAACCGGAAAGCGTTCAGCTGTGACGACGCGTCCCTCCCGGATTTTGCACGATGCCGTGGATTTGTGAAGTTGTCAATTTCACGTTTTAGTTTTTTTGTGTTTGTTCCAGGTTCCTCGGCGCGTAAGGTCGGAGAGAGTGAGTACAGTATCTGTGTAGGGAAGGGAAGAACAGTCCGTTGGGTGAGCTTACTTTCCAAAAAGCGTCGCGCATTTTCCTTTGTTCTCATGCCCTGGTGGAAGTAATTCGTTGCTGAAGCGGCTTGGTTATGGTACTGTATAGAAACAATATTGAAAACTGTGTATCATACCATCTGTTTCGGTTCTGGCGACTAATCTTTTGTAGTGGAGAAAAGGCTGCAGAGCACCGTAATTACTCAAGGAACAAAGGTACTTTTTTTTTAACTTGAGAGGAAAAAGGAACGGGAGGGGGGCGTTATTATAGGCAGGTATACATTTTTTCAAGGTGAACTCTCTCTACAATTTTCTTCTTATGCAAAAAGGTTATTTTCTTTGGTCCCGGAGAATGAGAGAATTACAACAAAATTCTCTCTACAGCATTTACGTTTTGGTTCCTTGAATTCTGTTGTGGAGAGAGCCCCCCTGTACTTCAAAAGC